CATCTTGCAATCCTTCTTCTTGGCATCCTTGTGAGCGGTTCTATGTGTGTCAGTTGAATATTCACCAAGTGTAGGAACACTGTCAGTAATCACTTCTAGGGTTTCATGAAATTCAAATAGAGATTACATTTGTTTTCTCCATCGAAGTCAATTCTTGCCGTTAAGAGTTAGAAGGGAATTTGGTAAATTTCTGTTACTATTCATCTTTGCAGCGATTGATCAACAACAACCCATGATCCCAGAAATACGATCTCTGACGTGTGATTTTAGTAAACACAATCAAGAACTTAATCGGAGCTCTATTACCAATATGTTAGTGCGTGAGACACCTTTAGCAAGGATAGAAAAAGAGAGAATAAGGAAATAAGGATTGATATTATTAAACGAATGATAATAAAACTGAATTACAAAGTGTCTATTTATATACACCTAAGTGACTTGACTACTAACCAACAAATATAACAAACTAACTAACAAACCATAAACCCTAATTAGTTTTGTGCTTGGGTCACATAATTCAACTTGGATTATATCTAATATCTCAATATTTTTCATCAAAATTTCACCATTTACATCAAAGAAACTTAGAATTTATTCAAAAGATAAACAAACATAAATTCATTCTTCATTAGATAAACTTTTACTATAATATATTTGAAAGATAAAGAAACTAATTAAACGTCTCCTTAATCATTTATATATATATATATATATATATATATATATATATATATATATATATATATATATATATATATATATATATATATATATATATATATATATATATATATATATATATATATATATATAGAGAGAGAGAGAGAGAGAGAGAGAGAGAGAGAGAGAGAGAGAGAGAGAGAGAGAGAGAGAGAGAGAGAGAGAGAGAGAGAGAGAGAGAGAGAGAGAGAGAGAGAGAGAGAGAGAGAGAGAGAGAGACTTACACCTGGTATCAACGGATCCTGATTATATTTTTATTTTAATTAATGTTTAAAAAATTCATTGATACAATCGTGCAAATTTATGGTCATTATACTTAGACTATGTTTGGTAAGCCACATTTATAAGCTCGTATGACAATTTATACATGTTTGATAGCAACCTTTTCATCATGAGCTTATAGTTTATTTTTCATACGCTATTTCAAATAGCGTTTTAGCTTATAGTTTATCATCTTTTCTTCCATTTTTATCTTTATTATTTTAACAAAAACCCTCCTTTATCATTTATAATTTATTTTAATTTAAAATAAAATAAATATGTATTAAATGTATTTTATGTCATTTTATATTTATAAGTTAGTTTAACTGTTAATTTTATCAAACACTTCAATTAGTTTATCAGCTATCAGTTATCAACCTATCAGCTATAAACTATAAGGTATCATTCATTAACCATCAGCAATCATCCATAAACTACTAGAATATCCACGTCTGAATATTGTGTCTATCTTAGGGATAATTTAGTCTCTTGATTTGCAAAATGACAACCAACCTTATCCTGTTCTAGTGTTGAAGAGAGTATCATGATGTTGCTAATGTTGGTGTTGAATTATGTTGGCTTCAAAACTTATTATTATAACTCCAGTGTCCGGTCACAAAAGTCACTCTAGTCTATTGTGACAAAGTCAATGTTGTGTAATTGTCATGTAGTCCTATCCAACATCAACTCACAAAATATATTGAAATGGATATCCACTTTGTATGTGGAAAAGTTGCTAAAGGTCAAGTACGTGTTCTACATGTTCCGTCTCGTTATTAAATAGTTGACATTTTCAAAAAGGATCTTCCACTACAGTTATTTGATAACTTCATAGACAATCTCAACATTTGTCAACACCTAGTTTCGACTATGGAAGCATATTAAAATATAAATTATTCATTGCATTAATTATTAACATCTTTTATATTCACTTATGCATTAACCCAACATCATTGTATATATTTATTGTATAATGAAATAATAAGATACATAATTCATTTATTTTTTATCTCTACTTTTTCCTACGTTCGTCTTAAATTCTAAACTATTTTAAACGTTGAAGTTTTAATCTTGCAAATTCAAACATGCGTCATCGTATCGGAAATCAGTAGTACCGATTCAGAGTTGTCACGACAATACACCTAATTTTGATTCTTTTCGTATCAAAACACAATGTAATTAATATAGAACTTAATATTAATACAAAATTTATATAGATTTTTTTATATTTAGGGTTTATTACTCTTCGGAAGGATTTATTACAATGTTTTTCTTTCATTATTGCGATTTTATCATTACAAAGATAAATTTAATACAACTTGTAGTATTAACCAACCTAATAAAGGAAACTATACATCGCATTTATTTACCGTTAAAGCTTGCAACCCCACCTCTCTACTAGATTTGACTTATTTAAAAAGAAGTTAACAAATGACTACTATAAAATTGGTTCTTTCTCCAACGGCTACAACACCCAAAATCACTTCACTATCATTTTCATTCATTCAATAATCATCATCACAATCTAGTAACAATAACACTTCACTATAATCTTCATGGATTCTTCCAATTCTACCCCTAATCATCATCGCCACCGTTCATCAGAACGCCGAACCAATTCCCGAACCTCTCCCTTATCCCGCATTGGTGAAATAACCGCCACCGAACCTCTTCGTATATCACTCGACCTCGATCAATCACCAACCACCGCCACAAAACCATCATCCTCGCCTTCGCCGCTGTCTCTTCTCCGATCTCCAACACGCTGTTTTCCACTCAGGGAGCTTCTCCTCATGTCCCCTCCGTCTTCCAGAAAATCCAAGCCGCGATTTGACGACGAGATGCAGGAGTCGAATAGTGTAAGACGGAGGTGTAGGGCGGCTCTGTCTTCTCCGAGAAACTCTCGGAGATCGAGGCGGAGATCGGAGGTTGAGGTTAGGGAAGAAAAGGAGATTGCATTGATGGATGAGGTTGCGAAACAGAGGAAGAGAAGAAACAGTGGGAGAAACAACAAGAAGGATAAACTCAGTTTGGTACCGTTTCAACCACCAAGTATGTGGTAGAGAATTCATTTTGAAATTGGATTATAGGTTTTGTTTTTTGATTGTGATAGAGATTTTGCTGTTATGTTTATTTGATTCCATTTTATGTTATTTTGAAGTAGAGATTGATAATTGATGTGTTATACTTTGGTGTTTAGAAGCTGAAGAAGAGAATGATGGTGATTTGGATCGCATTGGAATTTTGATCACTGAATTGATTATGTGGAAAGATGTACAAAAATCAACCTTTTGGTTTGGTTTTGGATCTCTTTGTTTCTTGTCTTCTTGCTTCACAAAAGGGATCAGTTTTAGGTCTGCAACTGTTTTTTTCTGGCCCTTTTCTTTGTTATGTATAGTGGAAAATTCTGAGATTTTTTTCTGTTTGTTGTTTCAGTATCTTCTCTGCTATTTCACAATTGGGAATTCTATTTTTGGCTGTTTCTTTTATCTCAAATTCTGTTTGTCAAAGGTATAATTTTACTTCTTTTTATGTTATGATTGTATTGTTTTTCTTCCTTTTCTTCTAAGCTATGACAGGAGTAATGAATTTACAACTTGTATTGTGTTCAGAGACCCAGAAGCTGCCAAGCAAGGGAGTTATGCCAAACTGAAAGAAGATGATATTTTGCATCTTGCGAAATTGATTCTTCCTGCTTTGAATTTTGCAATTTCGAAGACGAAAGGGCTGTTTTCTGGAGAACCATCCATGACACTGAAAGTAATCCATGCAACCTTACTCTTAGTTAATTCCCTGATTGTTTGCAAAATCATGCCGATTTTAGGGTTTGGGTTTACTTATTGGTTTTTTTTGGTTGTTGCAGCTAGCTCCTTTTCTTCTATTAGGAGCTCAATATGGCCATCTTATTACAATTTGGAGGCTAAGTACCATTGGTGAGACAATATTATTACCTATTATGATTTATTTTTTTCATATCTTTGTTCTGATATAGTAGTACTAATACATATCTATGAGCAGGATTTTTTGTCAGCTTCAGTGTACCAAAGCTTTATTCTTGCTACTCTTCTCAGATCAATCAGCGAGGTATAATTCCATCTATCAATTGACTAACATTTGTAGGTCTACCTATCAATATTTATATCGTGGATAATGTTTTTTCTATATGCAGCTGAGTGCTTGAAATTGCGATTGTTGGACACATGGAGTGCTTGCAGTCACAAGAAGATAGTGGTCGTCTCGGCCCTTATTACCTTTTGGAATCTGTCTTCTATAAAAACTCGAATCTGCACAGGTAACTTTCTTAGTGTTAACCACTTGCCTGTGTCGACATGTGCAGTTTTCAACTGTGATAGCTGATTCTTACAATGTAATTTTCCTTGCAGGATTTTTATTGGTTGTAATATTCAAATATATTCAACAAAATGTCCTACAAGACGGAGAAGCATATGCGGCAGACAAAGAAGAGAGACAGGTATTGTTAGTTGCAGAACCAGTGGATGAGAAACCACATCAGGCACTACTAGTTGCTGCCTAACAGCAGCACCAACCCTAGAAGTTCATTTGGTCATTCCTTCACACTTAACACGAACATATATCTTACATCTATTTGTAATAGTCATAATTCTTCTAATATATTCATTTCTTACATCTCTTTGCAATAGTCATAATTCTTCTAATTATTCATTTCATGACACTTAGCACGTGTATGTATCTAACATCCATACATGGGGCATTTCTTTGTAACTAATAGTTTAAAATTAACAAATGTGTTCTTCTTAAGCTTTGTTTAATATTTGTTCAAGCAAACAAAAGACATATACTACGATCCAAATACTCATCTCACTGAAATAGATATTCAACAATGACAATTCTGTATGCGTTTTTCTGATTTGGTGGGAATACAGAGTACTTTAGCAGAAAGCTACCATCAATTGATTTCTCTCAATGACAAGATAGCAAGTGATTCAAAGTTATGTACAATAGATCAAAATAGATAACATATTTAAAAAAGAGTAAAATTATGTTAAATGAACCATACTAAATGCTGGAATTTTTTGAATTCCAGCCTCCATAATTTCTTTCCTCAGATCAGCAGCATGATCCCATCTTTCTTTCTCAGCATTCATGCTGGACAATAACAAGTATTGGCCACAGTGTTGTGTCTGCAATTTAAGCATCTCCTTCGCTATTTCTTCTCCAAGTTCAATAGCTCCATGAATCCTACATGCACCCAAAAATGCACCAAATACTGATTCATCAGGCTGAAAAGGCATATTTCTTATGATATCAGCAGCTTCTTGAATATGACCGGCTCTTCCCAAAAGATCAACCACACATCCATAGTGCTCCATTACTGGCACTACTTGAAACTCACTCGTCATCGATCCAAACAAGTCCAATCCATCCCTAACAAACCTCCCACGAGCACATGCCGTAAGAACTGCCACAAACGTAATGCTATTCGGTTGCAACCCTTGACGCTTCTTCATCTTTTTAAACAAATCCAGTGCCTCCTTCTCTCTACCATTGGAAGCCAGTGAAGAAATCATTGCATTCCAAGTACAAACCTCTCTTTTAACCATTACTCTAAAAACATTCACAGCATAGTTCAAACACCCCATCTTTCCATAAAGATTTATCAAAGAAGTTCCAACAAAAACTCCCAAATCAACCCCTTTCACCAATATGTAACCATGAATTTGCCTTCCAAAATCAAGAGCAGCCTTTCCTTCTAAACCAGCACATGAGGATATCAGACTAACATAAGTAGCCTCATTTGGTTTCACCAAACAACCAACAACATCCTTATGAGTCATCATCCTCCCAAAACACCGAATTGCAGCACCGAAACTCCCATTCACAGCATAACCATTAACCATAGTAGTCCACGAAACGACATCCCGGTAAGGCATGGATTGAAAAAGCAACAAAGCACACTCCATGTTACCATTCATTGAAAAAGCATTGATCATTGCATTGGAAGCAACAATACAAAAGAGAGGAACTTCCTCAAACACCTTTTGTGCACAAACAAGGTTGTTGTTTTTTGCATAGAGTACAAGAAGAGTAGTAACTACAAAAGGGTCAGATAAGATCCCACGTTTAAGGGCTTGAGAATGAAGAGACGTGACAAGAGAACGAGGTGATGACTTAAGGAGAGGAGGAAAAGTGTGTGTGTTGGGTGAGACATTGTTTGAAAGCATGTGAGTAAAAATGACAAGAACCTTGTTGTGGTTTTGAACATGATAGGCTCTTATGAAAGCATTGTAGAGAAGTGTTGGCATCCATTTGTTATGGTGAAAAAGGAGGTAACCATTAGTGATTACAAGAGAATGAATTTGCTTCAATTGTTTTGAGTGCTTCACGCAACGTTGTGCAAGTTGCAACAAACATTCACCTGAATAACTCATAACACCTGAAACCTTAAAAACTAATCAAAACCTTTGCATTTTGTTCTACGCATAACTGAAAAATCTACCTAGTTTCACTTTAAAAAAAGGTATAGAGTAAGATTTTGAAAAGAAAGAAAAAACAATTTTTTTCTTACTATTGTCACTGATTTTGAAGACCCAATTGGTGGAATTGAGAAAAAAGAACCGTTTTTATATTTTATTTTTTGAAAAGTTTCCATTTTTATGAAATTTGGGAAAGGGAAATTGAGTATGAAACGCTGCGTTTTCATTTTTTCTTTGTTTCAGACTCACACCACATGTTAGAGTCTTGAAATAAGAATAAGATTTAAGAGCAAAAAAAATCGTTTTTTATTCGAGAGGGAATGGACGCGCTTGGATTTGGGAATGGATTTAGCGGCTTCTGGAAGTGGAATCCGTCACCGGAATCTCGACGGCGTCGTATTCGCTCTAATTCGACTTCGCCTGGTTCCGTCGTCGGGGGTGGTTATCAGTTCCCGGTGAAGCAGGCGATAACCGCCGCCTCACTCGCCCTTACTGGTGACACAATTGCTCAGATCAGTAACCGGTGGAGCAAAGCCAAAGAGACTGATGAAAATGCATCTCAGGTAAGTGTTACTGTTCTATAAAAATTATCAGAAAAATGAAGAAAAAAAACTTAGCTTGGTAATTTATGAGTTTGTATTTTTGTAATAGTTGATTACATTTGATATTTGTGATTTTTTTTTAATTTTTAATTTTTTAAAATTATTATTGATGTCATAGTGATGTTTAGAGTGTCCGTGGTTCAGAGATGTTATATATTGATTCTTTGGATGTAAAATTATAGTTATATGTCAAGATTAATGTAATTGGGAAATGGTTATAGCCATTAGAGAAAAACATATTGTTCTTTACAATATGTGCTGAATGGTGTTTGGTTTTGGTCATGTTGAGAGGTGAATGAGAGCTGCTATTTGTTTATTTTTGCATTAAAATTTCATGGTGATAATTTGGTGTTTGTTATAAACCAACCGAGTTTTCTGTAGGATGTATTGTCGAGGCTTCTTTCAGAACACGATTTGTTACGTGCTCTGCGAATGACTTCCTATGGATTCCTTTTCTATGGTCCTGGTTCGTTTGCTTGGTACCAGTTGCTTGATCATTGTCTCCCCAAACCAAATGTCCAGAACCTAATGCTAAAGGTATTGTATTACGCATTGTAGAAGCGTGCGGATGTTAAGGATAGTGACAGCTTCTAATTTCTCTTCTTTTTTTATCCTTTCTTTTGATAGGTTTTACTAAACCAGATTGTGTTGGGTCCGTGTGTCATTGCTGTTGTCTTTGCATGGAACAATTTATGGCAACAGAAGCTCAAGGAGCTTCCAGAAAAATACAGAAGAGATGCTCTTCCAGCTTTACTTTATGGTACAAACAAACCTCATTGCCTAATTGTTACTCTGGACTTACTCATATGCATATTTCTAATACCTTTCCGTGAACTTTTTCTGTTCAGGGTTTAGGTTTTGGGTCCCTGTCAGTGTGTTAAATTTCTGGTACGCGTGCTCACATTCTTCGATTTGATATTCTATGTTTATCGTTTCCTCTCTCTTATTGAGTTCAACAAGTTGTGCCTTTGGAATTTCACATGCATGATGTAGCGTTCAATTTTTCTACTAATTATGTAGTTTTTTGTAGTTTGAACTTTGAATTGCTTGGAAATTGATGAGTCTTACATTCCTTTGCTATTTTTATGGAATCTGTACAGGGTGGTGCCTCTTCCAGCTCGAGTAGCTTTTATGTCAATGGGCTCAATATTTTGGAATTTTTACCTATCATCAACTATGAACAAGTAAAATGAATGCAGACTCCACCTGTAATTTGCTTTGTTTCAAATTTTTACAATGAGGTATCTTATATATGTGAGATTATATTTCTCCTTTATTATATGTTAGGCTATACTCGCACTTAAGCTGTAACATTAACACCAACCTTTATTGTGTATTTGTAGATTTATTAACATTTCTGCTCCCTGCTAAAGATTTTACACTTTGAAAACTGTCGCCGTTGAAGACCAGCTCTGTTGTGCAGACGGCTGGGAAATCAGGCTCTCTTTCATATATAAAGTGATTACATAGGGGCTAGAACAAGTAAAATGAGTATGTGCTTATGCATAATTGTGAATCTGATTATACAAAGACCAGAAAAATGTGTTGGGAGGCAGATTTTAGGTTTAATGTTCTTGGAATGTTCTTCAGTATATTACAATACTTGTTGTAACTTCTTTCATTAATGTCCCCTCGTTTCATGTGCCTCAAAAGGGGAGCACCAATTATTCCCTTTTTGCAGACCAGATGAGCTTACGTTTGGTAATATAATAGAGGTTTTTGTAAGCACCTACTAGTACTTGATTAGATAAGATTTTCCATCAAATGTAGTCGACTAAAGTATGCTTATTTTGTAGAATTTTTTATATAAATACCCTGTTTTTTTTTTAAAATTTCAAAATAACCCAATTTTCAAATTATTTTCTAAAGGTATTTTCTGAACGTAGGCGTCATACTAATTGGCGACCTTTTACAAGGATCAAGAGTTGTCGTCAATTGGGTTGGAAACACCACATGGTGTTGCCAATCTAATTGGTGACACAGTGTAATTTGCCAAAAGGTGCCGCCAATTCAATTGGAGACAGGGCGGAAAGTTAATTTTTTTTTATAAATAGAGGCGTTCTGATCATTTATTTTTACATCTCATCTCATATACTTGTATTACTGATAACATGTATCGTCGTTGCTACGGGAAAGTCATTTATTCAAAAGAGAAACCTCTGATAGACATGCTCTTTTGAAACATTCAAAATTTCAACCAACTAAAGAGGGGGCTGAATTGGTGGTTAGACGAAGACATACCTGAAGGGAAACAATTAGAAGTAACGAGAGACATGATGCCCTGCGTGGGTGGGTTCACGTTAAGACTGACAAGGATGCGAGGTAAGTGATGTTTGAAGCAAATGATATAAATTTGATTGTCGTAGTCAGTTAAAAATATTTTGTTTATGTGTTCTGATATTTGTATGTGTTATTTGTTGTTAACTTTGTTGTAACAAAAAGTCATTAATATATCAAAATATAAGGTTACAACAATTGAAAGGAGAAACTAAATTATGATGCAGAGGTTGCTCCGACATTGAGACAATTTTCCGATTGTGTCTGGGCTGACGACATATACTGCATAATCTTATCATTTTATCAGTCGTATCCGTTTCTGTTCTTATACGCATGTTGTTTGGGCGTCCTTTTTTCTTTCTTCACATCTCATTGTTGTGTCAAACTATGTCCCCTTAGTATGGAAGCCAATATTTCTCCATTGTTAGCACTGCGAAGCCTTCGTTGTAGACATTCAGAACGTTAATGGCCTTGTAAACATCAGATAGATGGCTATAAGTATCCTGGCGAGCATGTGTGCATACCGCAATGACATGTGAGTAAAGTACACAGAAGGCTTGGTACTTGCCACAATCGCACCAGCATATGTTTAGTTTGACAACATACGATAAATTTGGTATCTTCTCATTGTGGTCCATTGTATCTTGTACACTGAAAGTTTGCCTATGATGGTCAAAGACTGTAACTACATGTGTGTTGGCTTTGATAGTTTTCTCTTTCATCACTTTCATTATGCATTCACTAAATAATTGACTCGACATTAACATTGCACTCCATCTTTTACCTCTTGTTGTGAAAAGTGATGCTAACTTGTAATAGGTTGATCTCACCAATGTGCTGATTGGAAGGTTTCTAGTTTCTTTAAAGACGTTGTTCATGGATTCCATAAGGTTTGTTGTCATGTGGCCCCAACGACATCCACCGTCAAATGCCATTGTCCAATTGTCCAATGGAATGTTATTCAACCACCTTCCTGCATCTGCATTTGACATCTTAATTTCGTTAAGGTAGTATTGAAATGATGGTTGTGTTAGAGCATACCATGCATTCACAACTTTTTTGCGAAGGTTCTTGTCTTTGATTGCACGCATGAAGTTTTGTGCGATATGTCTAATGCAATAGACATGGGTAGAAGGAGGATTATGCCATATGTTATCCTGGTTATTGTAAGCACTCTCAATAGCAGAATGTCTGTCTGAAATCAAATAGAGATTGGCTTGTGGAGCCACATGTGTTTTGAGATTCTTAAGGAAGAAACTCCAACCAGCAGTTGTCTCACCTTCAACCGTAGCAAAGGCTCTGGGAAAGACATTACTATTGACGTCTTATGCAACTTCCATAAGCAAGGTGCCCTTGTATTTTCCGTATAGCCATGTTCCATAATATGAATAATAGGTTTGCAGAATGCAAAACCTTTTATGCATGGTTGAAACGCCCAAAAGAGTCGGTGAAATATGACATTTCCATCAACAATAGTTCCATCTAGCCTACATGTCGGCATTGTCTTCATAATTGTAATAGTCCCCGGTGTGTATATCTTAAGTGCTACCAAAAATCACGGTAATTCTTTGTATGAATCCTTCCAGTTATCAAATATTTGTTCAACAGCCTTTGTCCTTGCAATCCACGCTTTCTTGTACGAGGCAGAATAATTATACTGCGTAATGATATGAGAGATTATTATACTCACCTTCACTAATGGATCCTTGTTAACAAGCGGCAAAATGTATTGACATATCAATTTTGCGCTTAGTTTTTGATATTCCTGAACAATATTTGTGGCAGTGCAACTATGAGGTGGCTCTATGGAAGTTATCTTTTAAGAATCACTTATCTTCCTGTAAGACGCAGCAAGTCGAAACTTGTAAAGTTCGTTACGATAAATAATGACATACCTTCTCGAATCAGTTCGATGTATGCTGAAATCAACAAAGTTATCCATGTGATATTTTTTTTAATGGCTCGTACACATTCTTTCTTGATACGAAACTTATCTCTCACTTTTAATTTATTCTTTGACCGCATATACGAGTTGTAAAAAATATCTGAGGATCTTTCATCGTCATGCAAGTCCAAGTCTGTCATATTTTGAGGCAGACAGTATACATGACCTAGAGGTATTGGAACTTGATCGTCATCTTCAGTGGTGTTGTTCAACAGATGATCGACCAGTGTCTTGCTTCCTTCTTCTTCGTCATTAACGACGTTGACTTCTGCTTCAGTTTCATCTGAGTATTCCGGTTCGGTTTCATCTGAATCTGCACATTCTGATTGATAGATGATTTGAGACTGCTGATCAAATTGTTCTTGAAAGGTGACGCCATTCAAATTGGAGACAAGGTACAATCTGATCCTACACTGTCACCATGTCATATTCAGCCTGGCATGCATGTGTGGGACAATGTCTCAGCCTATGGCTCAGCCTATTCACGTGCCTAGGAGTCTCAATCCAATTCAATTGGCGCCATCTTGCTGCATGAAGTTCGACACTTTGCTCACATGCATGTCCCTATGTTCCTATATAAATTCATCTAGAGTGTGTTATATGAATCATTAGAAACATTTATTCAGACATAATCAACTAGAGTGTCACTAGTATAAGAGATAATCAACTAGTTTTATAGCATCATACATAATATCTCTACTGACAATGGGTAAAATGCACAAAGGCACTGTCGCGAACATTGAGACTTATGTAAGTGTTTATTCCACTAAGTGTTTTTTTCTCTATTTACAATGTGTATATGTGTACGTGTTTATTATTTTTTCTCTATTAACAATGTGTTATTGTACGTGTTTATTTTTTTCGTAGGATGTCTCTCGGTTTCGTCCTCGTGCCCATGAATATGTTGCCCCCGATGAACTAATTGTACCTTATATTGAGCTCGCCGGTTTCGGACATGTAAGCAAAATCATGTCTTACTCGGTTGATGCAAATTTATACTAGCTTTACAAGAGAGATGGCGCCTAGAGACACACACTTTCTTTTTTCCAACTAGTGAATGTATCGTGACGTTAGAGAATGTGTACATGTTACTCGAGTTGTGTTTTGATGATAAGTTGGTCAATGGAAAAACAACCTTTGAGAATTCAATTTATGGGGAACTTTTGGGTGTCGACTTGCTGGATGATAACCCAATAGGTCAAGGTATCTTACTTTCGCGTCTCAAAATATGGTACAACGGTTTAATATTAGATGAAAATTTTACCGAAGAAATGAAAATAATAAAAATCAGGTGTTATCTTATTCTTTTACTTGGTTTATTCTTATTTCCCAAAGGTATTGGTTCTACTATGCAAGTTATGTATTTACCCTTATTGAGAAACCTAGATAAAACAAGAGAATGTAGTTGGGGTTCCGCTTGTTTGTCTTATTTGTATAGCTCTTTGTGTAAGTGCACGAAAAAAAACACATATACTTTTTTTGGATGCGCCGTTTTGCTCCAAGCATGGGGTTGGTCTAGATTGTCATCCCTAACGCCCGTTAACCACAACAATTTCTCATTCTTGTATGCACAAAAGTAAGTTAATAACTTAATATTAGTTCATTTATCTTACTAATTATTGCGTCTAACTAATTTATTTGAACTTTTTGTTGTTTAGAATGTTGGCTCGGGGTATGAGTTACAATAAATGTCCTAGACATTGTATCATTTAATACCGCAATCTCTTGGATCACCTTACACTTGGAGATGTAAGGCCACTTAATAAATTAATTTATTTTTTATATCACACATTTTATAATCTAATATTTTTCTCTTCTTCAGTTCATTTGGCGTCCATATCTAAAAATGGAACACCTGCATGAAGTCAGTGAGAAAGATGCATCCGTTTGGACTGCATACGTGTCAATCATCATATTCACCACTGTGGAGATGCACCACAGTGACCGTGTCAAACTACAATTTGGA